TGAAGATCCAAGATGAAGGAAAGCTTTGTGAAGGTTGTCAATATGGAAAATCACATAGACTTCCATTTGACAATTCTACTTCACGGTGCAGTGCTCCGTTGGAGAGGATCCATAGTGATTTGATGGGTCCTACAAGAACACCCTCATATTCCGGGTTTCGGTACATGTTGATGTTCATTGATGACTTCTCACGGCACACTTGGGTATACTTTGTGAAGGAAAAATCAGAAGTATTCTCCAAGTTTCAAGAATTCAAGGTTACCGTGGAAGGGGAGCTAGGTCGGAGAATCAAGACCTTAAGGACAGATAATGGAGGGGAGTTTATGTCCAAGGAGTTTCTCTCTTTTTGTCAAAAGCATGGAATAAAGAGAGAGTTTACTTGTCCGTATACACCTCAACAAAATGGAGTAGCGGAAAGGAAGATCCGACATCTAACTGAGACGTGCATAAGCTGGCTATATGGGAAGGATCTGCCTAAAGCCTTGTGGGCGGAAGGCATGAGATGCTCAGCGTACGTTATAAATCGGATGCCACTCAGCCCAAATAACATGAAGTCTCCTTATGAGATAATTCATGGGAAGAAGCCGTCAGTGAAACATCTCAGGATATTTGGATCAGTCTGCTATGTCCATGTGTTCGATTCTCAAAGAACCAAGTTGGAGGCAAAGGCAAAGAAGTGCATCTTCGTTGGCTATGACGAACAAATAAAAGGGTGGAGGTGTATGGATCCAGAGACACACATGTACGTAGTGTCTCGAGATGTTGTTTTTGATGAAGTTTCCTCATTCTATGGGCCACCTCAAGTCTTAGTTGAGCAAGAAGGTGGGAGTTCCTCCAAGAATGATAAACCAGCTCTGAGTAAGGAAAAAGGTCCTGAAGAAGAGATGCAAGGTGAAAGGGGGAGCACTGATCAAGAGGAGGATGAGGAGGAACATCATGGTTCCACGGCTTGTCAAAGGCCTAAAAGGGACATCATTAAACCTGCTCGGTTCAGAGATCCAAAGTTCGTTACTACCTTTTCGTGCTACTTTGCAGCTCCATTAGATGAAGATGAGCCAACATCTTATGATGAAGCAAAAGGTGTTGACGAGTGGGAAAACGCAATGAAGGAGGACATGAATGCTCTCATGAAGAACGAAACTTGGGATTTGGTTCCAAAACCCAAGGATGCCCAACCTGTTTCTTGTAAATGGGTGTACCGGATCAAGAGCAAAACAGATGAAAGCGTTGATAGATTCAAGGCAAGGTTGGTTGCTCGGGGATTCTCTCAAAAGTATGGAGAAGACTATGATGAGACCTTCAGCCCTGTAGCCAAGATGACTACGGTACATTCTCTCTTATCTTTGGTTGCAAGTTTTGGTTGGAAGTTATGGCAATTAGACGTGAAGAATGCTTTTCTATATGGAGAGCTTGACAAGGAAATCCTGATGTAGCAACCACTTGGTTTCATATCACGAGAGCATCCTGATTATGTGTGTAAGCTGAAAAAGGCCTTGTATGGATTAAAAGCTCCACGAGCCTGGTATGGAAAGCTTGCTCAGTTTCTTCAGTTCTGATCCGAGTCTATTCTTCAAGAAGAATGGAGGAGTCCACGTGGTAGTTCTCCTTTACGTAGATGATATGATAATTACCGGGAATGATGATGCAGAAATTGCTCGTTTACAAGAGGATATGTCGATAAGGTTTGAGATGAAGAAGTTGGGAGAGCTCAACAACTTTCTCGGCTTGGAGGTGGAAAAGGTAAAGGATGGAATATTCATCGGCCAACAAAGCTATGCAAGAAGAATTGTTGAGAAGTTTGGAGTACACGAAGGAAAGACACGCTCTACTCCAATGGACGTCAACATAAAGCTTAAACGCGATGAAGGGTCCTTGCTACCTGATCCTCGGCCTTATTGCTCTCTTGTAGGATGTCTTTTATACTTAACCATTACAAGACCTGACATTGCCTTTGCGGTAGGTCTTGTAAGTCGGTTTATGCAGGCACCAAGGAAACCACATCTAGAAACGGCAAAGAAGATATTAAAGTATGTGAAGACAACTTTTGGCAGGGGTCTGGTGTACAAGTATAATGCCAAGGTCTCTCTTTATGGCTTCACGGATGCTGACTTTGGTGGAGATCTTGATGATCGGAAATCATCTTCAGGCTATGTGTTCCTATGTGGGGACACAAATGTCTCATGGTGCAGTAAGAAGCAAGCAACAGTGTCGTTATCTACAACTGAAGCAGAGTATAAAGCTTCAACTCTAGCAGCTCAAGAGTGTATTTGGCTTCGGAGACTCCTTGAAGATCTGTTCGAGCCAATCAATAAGCCGGTTGCAATTTATGGAGATAATCAAAGTGCGATCAAACTGGCCAATAATCCAGTGTTTCATGGGAGGACTAAACACATTGAGTTAGAGCATCACTTCATAAGGGAGAAGATGCTTGATGGGACAATTGAAGCTTTGGAAGTTTGAAGCGAGGACAACGTTGCAGATATCTTCACCAAGTCATTACCAAAAGGTCAATTCGAGTTACTTCGCTCGAAGCTCGGGATGGCTGACAAAATCAAGTTTAAGGGGGAGTATTAAAGTTAAACTTGATTTTAGGTTAAGCTTAGTTTTGGGTTTATAAAATAATTATTAGTTATTAGACTATGTCCAAAATTAAGCCCAAGTTCTAGAATCTCTAGAAACATCATTAAAAATCATCATCTTTCTTAAGTGTTCTAGAGAATTCTATTAGTTAAATATCTAGATAATTGTATAGATAATTCTAGATATTGTAGTTAATCTAGATATTGTTGTAGAGAATTCTAGAGATTAGGAGAATGTTTGTAAGATATTTTGTAATAAGTGGAGCCTATAAATAGCCCACTACTCCATCATTTGTAAATGAGAAGTTGAACAAATAAAAAAAAAGTGTTCTTCATAAGTTCTCTTATTCTCTCTAAAGTTCTTTCAAGTTTTCTCTAAGTGTTTTTTTATCCTTTTATTCATATTTAGAAAGTCTTTGTTTCTTTCGGGTCCCTCGAGTATTACGATCTTGGGCTAGTGCTAAGCGCTATCGGTACTTTCTTTACAATAAAAAAGATTAATGTATATAAAAGACAGATTAAGTGTATTCTTCTCTAACCTCTTGGATAGTTATTTCGCTTTAAGCTTCAAGTAATTGTCAAATGGATAACCACTGATTTTTGGTTAAAATACTAATGTTTTGGAGCGTTTCGTTTTAAATATCCTTTTCAATTATTTTCACAACTACCTACCTACCCAGCTGGTGGTTAATAATTGTAAGTTGATGTGATATAGTTTCAATAACTGTATACATCGTACTGAGCATATTTGAAAAATAAGAAATCTGTTCACATCGTGTCGTGTTGAACATATTTTAAAAAGAAGAAAACTCAAACTAATGTTTTGAGTGCTTGCTTTAGTAAATCATCATGTTTTTTTTGCTTGAAATTGCGTGTTTTTTTGGTTCGATTCTATTTCTCTTGAGTTTTATTTATGCATAATTTTAGAATTTTATAAAGAGATAATCTTTATCCATCTTCGATGGATTCATTTCTCAAAACTATAATAAGTGACTTACTAATGTAAAATATGTTCATACGACCTCTAGCTAAGTAGCAAGTCTTATTTCGCCCACATCAGAGGTTCCAAGTCTTCTTTTGCTGCTATACAATATCACGAATTTTGTGTAGTTAATTGCATGTTTCGCTATCTTACAATAATGGCGTACCGAACTTTTTTTAAAGACATTTGGGAAGTTTTATTGGGTGAAAAACAATCCATTCAGTCTTTAGAAAAGGAGATTCACTTTTCATACAGGAATCGTCTTAGATTTGTACTTTTCAAACACATTATTACCGGTTTTTAGAAAGGAGATTCACTTTTATTTTGGTTCTCTCTTATGCTGAAGACGATCATCGGTTTCATCCGATGTCATAACAAATGTTCAGTATCACATAACAAAGCAAATGAAAGAACATTAATTGGTAGTTTTCTTCATCAATAAATTTGCAGCTTCGTTGACCAATGGGGTACTTTTTTGTTACAAGCTTCACCAATGAGGTACTAGGCAATTGCCCATTGACCAATTACACACAAACATATATCATCACATGTGTTGTGTGTTAATGTGTTTAATTCTCTAATTTACACGTCAGCTAAGATGCAATAAGCTAACGTGCATCTTCGGATGCTAGACTTAGTCAATCGAGTGTGTGTATTAAATATCTAGAACTACTATTTAAACTAAAATGCCGATCTTAGGCCTAGTTTTTTTTTTCATTGTAAAAAAAAATACCAATTTTTATTTTTATAACCAAAATCCTCCTAAATTGAAATTCGTTTAATTTTCGAAACTTAAAAATGTCTATATATTCTTACTATTTAAGTTTAGTATGCTCAAATGCATATGTATCCACTACTTATATATCTTACTACTTACTACTTATATTTCATCATTTGATAAAAAAAATAAAACAGTTAAAAACTTTGATGAAACACTTCGAAACTTGGAACTCATAGTGTACTAATGATATAAGAATAATGTTATGATACATAAGAAAGTCTCTAATTGTACAAACAGTTAAAAACTTTGAAGAAAACATAAAGAGCGGTTGGAATGAGCTTGCATTTAGATAGCCGAAAGAAAAATATTACTTGAGAGTCTTCAGTATTAGTTTGTGAAGTCAATAGTACATACTTCATGAATAAAATAAACTGGTCCAAGTCCATCAATATCAGAACTATATATGATGGACTTTTATGACAAGATACCCCATGACCAAACAAGCTCTTCAAAATACATCTTAGCCAATTTATTTTTTAAATGTTTTAGTCGAACCGGACACAAGTATCGTTATTGCTCTTTAGATAGTTAAATGATCAACAATATATAACGTTGCTTATCTAATAAGACCAGCTCGGATCATAATATATGGGTTTTACCACTTGATATGGGTATCTTTCTTTTCGTAGCTAAGAAGGAAAAAAAATAAAATATGTAATTTTGTATCCTGGATCAAGAAAAATATCAATTATAAATATGTATACACAAATAATTAAAATATGCATTTGGTGCAACAAACTCTTGACGTATCTCATCGTTCATAAGTTATAACCACATCTAAAGTGGCAAAAGCATGCACCCGACCGAAACATATCGTTATTCGGTCTAAACTAATAAATAACGAAAAATAACGTGATATACCAGAAATTAGATACATCTCGTGGAAAGAGTACATGTGGCATTTTCTTTTGGCGTGTGCGTTTAGCTCTTCTATACTAGTAACAAGGACGGTTGCGGTTGCAGTTTAGAGGGCCAGCGTCTGCGGTTAGAGAAGGAACCATGTTTCCCGGAGCGACTGGGAATCGCTGAGCAGAACTGTACGGCAACACGATACTGCCGTAACCTGAAGGCACGAAATAAGCTCCGTTCTTGAAAACGTCCTTTGAAGTTCTCCATCTCCAATTGTTCCACCCTCCTTTCACTTCTCTCTTTGTCACCTGTTTATTTTATTAATCATAGCAATAGTTAATATATATATTATTATATGTGAATGATCTTTATACATAACCAAAACCGAACGTCTAAGTCAGCCGTGTAAACGACCGATGCTATGCTGCCGTCACTTTTTTGGGTGAGAATAGTCGTGGTCAATCCTAAGAAACCGATTTTTGTTTTTAAAGTAAGAAAAATATATAATTGGTCACAAATATAGGTGCTTCATACTTTCAATCAATGTAAGAGAAGTTTATGTCTGTTGTCTATTGTTTGTTTTTTCAACAATATGCATTATTCGAGTTTGAATATGGGCACATAAATTTTGATAAAATGGGTGCTAACACAACAAATTAGCCTAGATATTTTCTTAAACCAGTCTAAAAATAAAATAAAATACGTATAATATATATTATATTGGACAAGCGGACCAAAAGTGTCCCAGACTCCCAAAATACTTCCCGCTATAAAAATCCGATGATTTTTTTTTCCCTAGTTAATTAGCATTGAGATTATCGTTCCTAATTCAGTAATTTGTATGGATACGTATAACCGTATAAGTTTGTGTAAATGATGTGTATATGTATATATAATATTGGATTTAGAGGACAAAATTCAAATACCTCTTTGCTGTTAGATTTATCAGACGCAATGAAATAGTTGCCTTCACTGAAAATGGTGGGATCGGCGCTACCACCGATTGCATACATTATCCATTTATCGTATCTATTGTTTGCTACATGAGCGTACCCTCGTCTTACCCTGCACCCACCATACATTTTATATCATTTTAAAAAAATCAGATTCACACTTTTCTTTATATAATTAGTTTTTTTTTTTAATTCTGCATCAAAATTAATTCGTAATAATTAATTATTTTAATTTTAATTAAAAAAAATTATTACCTTGGCATTCTCTCCACAAGTCCTGGTCCAAAATGATTGAATGCCACGGTCACTTTCATGTTTACATCTTGTACGAAACCATCGTTGTGTCCAAGCAACATCACCTATACATAAATAACAACCAATATCATCAAAATGTGATGTTCATTGCTCGAGACATTAATCAGTTATATCATCGATATTTCACAATGAATAGAAATTTGGAATGTACTGACTTTATCATGCTGAGTAAAATAGTTGTTGGAAATGGTGATTCCCGTGGAAGCATGGATCACATCGATGAGCCCGTCCGTACATCTCGCTAGGTAACAATGATCGATCCAAATATTCGACGAACCGGAAACCGCGATCGCATCACCGTCCGATCCCTTACGGTGACCTACGTGCGTCGTGCTACTCCTCACCATTCCGTACTTCCCCGGTTTGCAGTCGTGGATGCTGATCCCGTGCACGATTACATTCGTCACTTCTTGTATCGTAATGCATGGTCCGTATGCAATTTCCACTTTTGCCCCTCTCCCATCTATGGTCTTATAGCTATTGACCATGAGCTCATTCTCTAAGGTTATTACCATATCCTTAGCGAAAGTGATCCATAGAGGCTTGTCTTGGATCACACCGTATCGCAGAGAACCAGGCTGAGGGTTCGCTGCATTGTCGCTAGGGTTTGTAACAACATATATATTACCTTTCTTGCCGCCCAAGGCAGATGAACCAAACCCAACCGCGCAATTGGCTAGATCTTTGCGGTTGGCGGCCCAGTCAGACTTGAGCCGCCAACACGAGTCTACTGGATTCATGATGTTTTGAGGTTTCTCCGGAAGGTAGCTGGCAACGGGGTTATACCCGTAATAACCGTTGTTATCGGCACGAACCAAGGAATGGCATAAGAGTAGTGCCACGGAGAGACACAAAACAGAGAAAAGAGTCATGGTCCGGTACGCGGTTTAGGGTTTGAGAAGGGTGATTAACAAATTAGAAAAGATGGGCAAGTACTTAAGAATGTTAGATGAAAGATTGTGTCGGAAAGATTAGAAGGTGTGATAAACACGATCTTGTCCTTAGTGGCATAAAGAAAAAGTTGTATTGGTGAGATCTAGGTGCTATTATACAAGAACACATGTACGTGCTTCTCCACGAACATTTCTCTAGCCGACTTGCTTGGATGGAGAAACCTATGATTATATTTTCTTTGATTAAAATATTTTAGATTATAATTACTATATATTACGTTTATCTGGTGAGGTGTTTTATATGTACCAATCGATCACTACTTTTTTGGTCAATGAATGAATATAAAAAATCATTAATTTGATTAAGTTAGCATAATTTCAGACAACTATCCATCCAATCTAAAGAGAAATCAGTCAAGAGTTTGAGTGAATAGTGTGTTGTAATGAAATTCTATGAGCTCATTAATGGCCCAATTAAAAAGGAAGCCCACTATTACATCCTAAAGGAAAGCGTGCTGGTTTTTTTTTTATTCGGATGATGGACCTTTAAAACGGCAAACTGTCTACATTGATTTAAACAGAAAGGCGTGATGTTTTCCGCTCAAACATTAGATTTTCATTCAGAACAACTCTCATCACAACTGAACCAGATTCATCAAGAATATATATAAATGCAACATAACTAATTTACTACTACCAACTTGCAGCTGAAGAAGAGAAGTTGCTCTGCCATTTTTTGATGCCTTGTGAGCCAAGAAAAGTGGGTTTGCCCTTGAGAAAAGCAGAGTACCAATGAGCAGAGAGTTTTGGAGATCTCTTGAGATGAGGATCGCTGAAATTTACAGAGTACAATCCAAAACTAAACTTGTATCCTCTCAGTAACTCGTATAAATCCATGAATGACCATACGAAGTAGCCTCTCGTGTCTGATCCATTCCTACACGTAGTATTGTTCTACAATAATGTCTTTTATTTTCTTTCTTAAACTGAGACGAGAAGAGAAGAAAACTTTACTTTACCTAACGGATTTTAGCACAGCACCAATGTAAGCATGTAAGTACTCAATCCTTGGTGTGTCCTTCTCTTGCAGCTGCAAATCTTGCTTCATCGGTCTACCTATCCGTTAGCGTTGGCAAGACAGTCGACACGACTAAGACAAAAACAAGAAAGAGAGAGAGAGAGAGAGAGAGAGAGAGAGAGAGAGAGAGAGAGAGAGAGAGAGAGAGAGAGAGAGAGAGAGAGAGAGAGAGAGAGAGAGCGAGTGAGAGGGATCAAAGAAGAGAGAGAGAGACCATTCTCAAGAATGTAGACAGGAGGATTGCCATAGCTCTGCTTTATATACTCCAGGACACCTTCCATAGCCCATGGAGAAACAGCATACTTGTGATCCAAACAAAGACAAAACAACTAATAAAGATGGATTGTGAACAATAATTATTGTTTAAAGACTAACTGTTTAAGGACTATTAGGAGTTCTGCATCTGAGTTTACCTCGAAAGCCGAAAAATTCCCAACGACTGTCCCCTCCAAACAAGTAAAACGAAGAAGAGAAGATTAGCAAAATCCAAAAATTTAGATTAAAAGTTTGTTCTGTTATTCAAAAGATTCCTACTAGAGACAGACACGCCCAAGTCTGAGCGGAAATCTGGGTTTCTTGAAAGAGAAGGTTTGAATTTGATGTTTGTGACAATGGCCCCAAAATAGTGAATGATTCCTAAGAAGTCAGATGAGCCTTTAACTTGTTCTGATTCTTCCTCTGAGAAAACTGGTAGTCTTGATCCAACGCTTCTTTTCATTTCGTTGGGATATTCTCCGAATACAAGAGGCCTAAGCATCCTGAATTTAAAAGTTTTCTTTCTTCAAGACATTGGATATGTTGTGCACAATCTATCAAAAAAGTATTTTACCATTTGTGCCTGACTCACCAGTCCATATGGAAAGCTTTGGCTCTTTGAGTTGCAATTTCATCATCCTTGGAGCTTGTGGAAGGATTAAACCCTATTGCAAATATGCTAAAGCCTACGGAACCTCCTTGCATATCCTGCGAATTATATATAACATGTTTCTCCTTCGTCCATCAACTCACACATTCAAGAGAAGTGTTAAGTAAAACATATATGTACATGTATATAAGCGTGTGTACCTTGTACTTTTGCTTATACAGTCTTGAAGCAGAGGCGTGCGCAAGGAGCAAGTTATGGCCAACGATATATGGTTCAGTCGAAGAGTCCCCCGAGGAGCAGTTTCTGCCAGGCAATGAGCAACGACCAGGCGGTGTAGCCCCATCGTTATAGCTTCCAATAGCGAATATATTAGGCTCGTTGATCGTGGTCCAGAACTTGACGTGATTACCAAACTCTCTGAAGCAAACATCTGCATAAGCAGTAAAATCTTCGCTGCAATGGCAGATAACATTCTTTCTCAATACAAAATATGTAAAAGAAACTAAGCGAAAAGGCTGTTTTTGGGTAGCCTACATGATTCTACGGTTGATCCATCCTCCATATTCATCCTCTAGATACTGAGGATGATCGTAGTGGTACAGTGTAACATGTGGTTCAATTCCTGTAAATCCGGTAAGTGGGAGCCAAAACCGAACTAACTCAGCAACACAGAAGCATATATGGTTTCCAAGAGTTGGTTAGTGGATATGAAGACAGGTCTCACCATTGATTACAAGTTCTTGGATAAAGTTCTTGTAGAACTGAAGACCCTTTGGGTTAACAGGACCTCTTCCATCTAAATGAGATGAGAGCTCATCAATTTGATCACTTCAAGTTTTTAGAAAATATACCGGCGAGTTTGGTTGAGAAGACTTACTCGGTATAAGCCTAGACCAAGATATGGAGAATCTGAAGGCATCTAAACCAGTTTTCACCATCAGCTGCACATCTTCCTGCACAGACAAAAGCAAAAAAAAAAAATGTTGATGTGTGGTAAAAAAATGACAAAATGAGATTACCAAAGGTTGAAAGAAAGAAAAAGAACCTTGTACTTGTGATACCCATCACAAGCTATGTCTCCATTATCTAAGTTCCCTGCCAAGTTAAATCCAAACCAGAACGAGCTTAGATTCCGAAATTGGTGTTTAGAGTCAATATGAAAAAAGCTTACGAGAGTGAAGGAAAGTGTCCCAGACGCTAGGCTTTTTCCCATCTTCATCAAAAGCTCCTTCCCACTTTTAAGAGACCATTACAAATTTATTTCTCAGATAACTCGGAAAAATAACAAAAATCGAAGTAAAAATAGAAGAAATTGAGACTCGAAACCGGAACCTGATAAGCAGAAGTGGCGGATCCGAAAACGAAGCCCTGGGGGAAATCATTCCTGCTGAAAATATTAACATCGCTGCATCTTCCAGGCAAAGCGAGAACAAGAAAAATGGTGGTCACAGACAAAACTCGTTCCATTACTCTGTTTCTGTGTCTGCTTTCGCACCTTTTTTGTGTGGAAAATTACAAACTATAACGCTCGCACGAGAGAAATTTACGAAGAATTAAACACTTGTTGTCTATTTCAATTATCAACGTGGACTCAAAAGAAAAGCCACACAGACAAGTGTTTGAATAAATTTTCCAAAAATCATTATATATACTATCATAATTTTTTTTTAATTATTATGCATTTTAAACGCTCACAACCACAAACTTTTGTGGAAATGAACTTTTGAAAGATCCAACATGATCATTTACGTTACTTCGCCATGAAATATATGGGAATAGTGGTTGCTTTAGCAGAGATTCAAAGCAGGGATATGCGATTATTTAAGATACGAAATTGTACAAATGTTTTGGCTGGAAAGCTGCGCAGAGTCTCAAGGAAACGGTCGATGCTTTATATCAAGAAAACAAATATGGTATATAAAATAAAATAAAATATGGTCTATTAAGTTTTGCGACTCTTTTCTTCTTTACGTTTTCTCCAACGTCCAAGACGATTTAAGATACACATACACCACAGGAAAACTAGCCTCTTCCATATTATTCTATATTATTTTTACTATTGTAAAATTCTATTAAGCAAAAGGACATATGCATAAATTTTTTTTTTTTTTTGCTTAACATATGCATAAATGGTCTGTGCCCATAGGTTCACAGCTGCAACTTGTAGGCCTGTCGCTTTCACCTCCTTCCTTAACAAAGTCGTTTATGCACGTCTTGCTTCCGTTGGAGCCGCATGGTCCCTTAAAAATAGCCTTCTGGAAGCCCGGGCGGCCGTTTGATGTCCCAACACCCTCCACTTCTATTATTAATTTATATAAAACCCGCAAAAGAAATTAATTAGTACATGGTCTAGAACATTTCTCATGTAAACAACGTTGTATTTTGCAATTAGCAAAAGTTAGGTTTTCCGTCTATTATATTAAAACAACAACAACAAAGTCTCTCTGTGTTACCTTTGACTTGGTTCAGAACGAAAGACATGAGAATACAAGAAACCAGAAAAAGAGTAGCAGATCTCATGATTCTTATTGTGTGGGTGTTTTGTTTGTCACGCTTCTGTGCCAATTTAAAATCAAAGAATAGTATTGGTTGTGATATAAGACAGCTTGAATAGTTGAATGTGTATGTACAGTATATATATAAACACACATATTCAACAAATGACCTATATTCATTCAACCACTAGATTTGGAAGATAATCTGTAATTTATTTTCAAAGACTATTTTTGGTCAAACTATAAACAGTAAAAACTTTAGATAAAACTCTAGATGTTAATAATGTTGGAATTTTGATATTTTATTAATTTATAGAGTTATTAATTTATCAGTTTTAGATTTTTTTATCAAAAATAATATTTTCTTTAACATTTATAATATTTTCTAAATTTTTTATTATAAACTTGGAGATAATGACAAAAATATTTTAATTTTAATATGAAAAACAATAATATACTCATAATTTAATAGATTATTATAATTATATATTTATATAAAATTATTGTATATGATATTTATTAATTTATGATTCTAATGGGACTATATTTTATATAGATTTTAGAAAAAGTTATTATTTTATTAATTTATTGATTTATATTAAATTTTGAACCGGTCCAACTCAGAACCAAGTAGAATTATTGATTTATCAAATTTATTAATAAATGAAATATTGATTTATAGAGTTTCTACTGTATGATTCACCTGATTCATAACGTTTGTGATGAATTAGTTACAACAAAACATTACAAAATATAAGAAAATTTTCGGTATTACTTCGACAGGATAGAAATCGGACATCGGAAAAATACTATAAAATATATTTTTTTTTTACTATAAAATATTTGTTGTCCATTTCAATTATTAACGTAGACTCAAAAGAAAGACAAGTGTTTGAAATAAAGACTAGTGTGAGGAGAAAGTTGGATGAGTTGGTATGAAAGTTTTTGGGTCTTTTTATTAATGATCCAATTACAGTAAAACCTCTATAAATTAATAATGTTGGGACTGCATAATTTTATTAATTTATAGAGTTATTAATTAATTGATAAATTAATAATTATTAATTTATCGATAAATTAATAAATTATTAATTTATAGAGGTATTTTTCATTTTCTTCATAAAATATTTTAACAAATTATTTTACGTAAATTTCTATATAACTTCGTTATTTACATATTTTATTTTATGTTAATATTCAATTTTAGAAAAAATTTTATACACGTTTCTTTTTTTTTTGTTAAAATTCTTTATGCATGTTTATGTCTTGTACGAGACATTGTTATAAATATGATATTGTCTTAATTTTAGTTCTACAGTAATCCTCCATCAACACGTTCTTAGCAATGGCTTCTCATCTAAAAGGTGTTGTAAAATCAACAATGTCAGATCAAATACGCAAAGAATTATGTGAGTACAAAAGAGATAATACAGGATGCGCTCAAAAGGATTTGCAGGAGTGGCTTACAGAAAAGCATCATATAAAGGCTAGTCAAGGTACAATTTTAAACACACTCAAACGATCAGCTGAATATCTTTCTACTAACTTGGAAACAGGAAAAGATATCAAACGGCATAAACCAGCAAAATTTCCAGAGATGGAAAAAGTTTTTTTTGAGTGGTTTCTGCAATACCAAGAACGTGTGAATATGTCTGGAGAGCTAATTCTGGAGAAGGCAAAAGAGACAATGAAACTTCTATACCCTGAACAAGACCAGGAGCGCCAATTTTCTCAAGGCTGGCTTGAAAAATTCAAGTTACGACATGGCATCAAGTCTTTTCGTCGATTTGGAGAGAGTGGTTCTGTTGATGTACAAGATATGGAGAAGAAACTTGAAGTTATAAGGGAAAAAATAGATAAATTTCCTATGAAAGATGTTTTTAATATGGATGAAACTGGTTTATTTTATAGATTACAAGCTGATTATTCTTTTGCAACAAAACAACTTGAAGGAAAAAAGCAAGACAAAGAAAGGCTGACGGTTGTTATTTGCTGCAATGAAGATGGGTCTGAAAAGATTCCTTTATGGATTATTGGAAAATTTGCAAAGCCATGTTGTTTTAAGAATGTCAACATGGATAATTTAAATTGTCACTACCGTGCCAACAAAAGAGCTTGGATGACAAGTGTGATTTTTGAAGAATATATCCGCTGGTTTGATAAGAGAATGCATGGTAGAAGAGTTTTGTTTGTGGTAGATAATTGTCCAGCACATCCAAAAAATATTGAAGGGTTGCATAATGTTGAGTTGTTCTTCTTGCCTCCAAATATGACATCAAAAATTCAACCTTGTGATGCTGGAATAATAAGAGCTTTTAAGATGCATTATCGCAGGAGGTTTTACCGTGAGATTTTAGAAGGCTATGAGTTGGGGCAATCTGATCCAGGTAAGATCAATGTTTTGGATGCTATCAATTTTGCTGTTTCGGCTTAGACTATTAATGTTAATCAACAGACAATAGCAAACTGTTTTCGACACTGCAAAATTCGTTCAGCAGATGACATACCGATGAATTTGGAAGATGAGTCAAACAGTATTCATGACTTTGAAGTTGTGATTAATAATCTCAACTATCGGAACAAAATGGACATCAACAGCATACTCAATTATCCCGGTGAAAGTGATATATGTTCAAAAATTCAGAGTTTAGAAGAAATTGTGGCTACTGTTCTTAGTGTTGATGATGAAGTTGAAGATGATAATGTGGAACCTTTGGTAGTAGTTACGCGCCAAGAAGCACTTATGGCTTCTAGAGTTCTTTACAATTTTTGGATGCAAAACGAGAAGACAATACCAGGAATTGTTGATGCAACAAGGAAGATTAGAGATGAACTCCAGAGAGAATCCAACTTTAAGAAAACACAAACAACAATAGATTCATATTTTACTAGATTGTCTTAGCTATATATGCATATATTTATATATGTTTAGATTTATAATTATTAATTTATAATTTTATGGGGACCATATTTTTACATAGGATTTTCAAAAAAATTATTATCTTATTATTTTATCGAATTTTGTTAATTTTTACACCGACCCAAATTGGGACCGATAAAATTTATTAATTTATAATGATTATTAATTTATCGAGTATTAATTTATAGAGGTTCTACTGTATAACAAAGATTATTATTAACATTGGGCTTAAAGAAACCGCGTTATTTATGTATTGATGGGCTTTTAAAACAGCGGCCTAAGAAATTTGACAACATGTAAAAGAAAGTAAAATTCTACCTTTGATTTTGAACATTCTTTTTTCCTACGGAGGAACGTGAAAACACAAGAAACCAAACACAGAGATGCAGAGTTCATTATTATTTTTGAATCAAAGTTAATTTCTCTCATGTATACTGTAAAACCTCTATAAATTAATATTCAATTCATTGATATTTTGATAAACTAATATTTTTTATCAGTTCCAAAATTAATTTAATAATTACTATAAAATAATAATTTTTGATATTTTAATAAAATTATTAATTTATAGAAATTTTACTTTATTATTTTTAGTTTAGTGAATTGAAGTAACTTATTTGGTAAAATAATCAAGATACTATATGGAAAGTAAATATTCAAACAAAGACCAAAATCAATCATAACATTCTTACCGTTTGTGATGGTATTGTTAATGGACACAACCAATCGTCATTAATAGAAATAAAATATTTGAGCACTATTAGTGGCTAAAAACATATATCAATATGTAAGATTAATGTATAATTTAATATATAAAGACTAAAATATTTGAGCACTATTAGTGGCTAAAAACATATATATATATATATATATATATATATATCAACATGTAAGATTAATCTATAATTTAATATATAAAGACTAAAATTATTTAAATGTACTTTTTAATATTAAATTTATTTAAATGTAGTTGAAGATCAATATTTTCTAATAGATAAGAGGATCGAGTTGAACTGTGCCATAACAATTTTACCGTAGCCTTTCTCTTATGGGAAAAAAATTACGCACAAATTTATAGTTTGCAATCCTACTTGTAATAAATTTTAAGCTTTTAAAGTATTCTGATCAACCAGATTTTCAAACTTAATTTCCCTAGTTAACCAGCATGATCCAACATGATCATTTACCTTACCGCCATGAAAAATATGGGAATAATGGTTGCTTTAGCAGAGATTGAAAGCTGGGATCTATGCGATTATTTAAGCTACGAAATTGTACAAATGCTTTTGCTGCAAAGCTGTGCAGAGTCTCAAGGAAACGATTGATGCTTTATATAAGGAACAAAAATATGGTCTATTTAGTTTTGCTACTCTTTTCTTTTTACGTTCTCTCCAACGTCCAACGTCCATACGTATTCAAGCTGTCTTATAGCACAATAAAACTAGTCTCTTAGCTTCCAATGTTTCTGTAGTATTCTCTTTTATTGTTGTAAAAATTCAGTAAGCAAATTTACATAGGCATAAATGTGATACGCCAAAGTTATTACACTGGCAACTTGCAGGCCTGTTGCTTGCACCTCCTTTCTTAACAAAGTCGTTTATGCAAGTCTTGCTTCCGTTGGAGCCGCATCCTCCGGCAAATATATCCTTCCGGTCGCTCATTGGAATCACTCCACCCTCCACGTCTATTATTCATTTATATAAAAATCACAAAATGAAAGAGATCTAGTTCATACAAAGTACATGGTCTAGAAAATTTCTCATGTAAACAACATATTTCAAAATTGGCAAAAGTTAGATTTTACGAGTAACGTCTATTAAAACAACAACAACAACAAAGTCTATGTGTTACCTTTGACTTGGTTCAGAACGAAAGACATGAGAATACAAGAAACCAGGAAAAGAGTAGCAGATCTCATGATTCTTATTGTGTGGATTTTTTTTATTTGTCACTATCTTGTGCCAAATTAAAATCAAAGAATAGTATTGTTTGTGATATAAGACAGCTTGAATGTGTATGTATATATAAACACACATATTCACTAATTGACCTAATACTCATTCAACGACTAGATTTGGAAGATAATCTGTAATTATTTTTTAAAGAGTATTTTTGGTCAAAATATATATGATTCAGCTGATTTTAAGAGACATTAATTAATATTCCAAAAATATAATAGAATTTTCTGTAATACTTTTTTTGCGAAAAAGATTTAAAAAATGGGGGAAAAAGTAACAACGCTCCAGAGAGGGTTTGAACCTCTGACCTTGTGGTTAACAGCCACACGCTCTAGCCAACTGAGCTACTAGAGCTTGTTCATTTTTGTAATACTTACTGATTTTCAAAACTTGATTAAATCTCCCCGTAGATATTTTTAACAAACAAAAAACCCGTGCACGATGAAAAAATCATCCTGTTAGTTATTCTATTATTCTCCTATTCATATGACACTTATTTGAATATGTTTACATCTGTAGTATTATATGTATAATTTTTGGCAGTATGTCAAATTGTCAATTATGCAACATTTCTATTATACGAAATTGTAATATTATCATCAATTTTTTTTTTACCACTTTTTAAAAGTTACCCTGATGTTGAGTTGTTAACTAACGAATATCATATTATTAATTGGCAAACAAATTGAGCTGTAGTTGAGAGTTATGATGGTTGATTACATTGTGCTTCTTATGTGAATTTACTTTAATTATTCTCAATGAAATTAACAAATTAAAATAATCTAATTTTTAATTGATTTTCGTTTTTTTAAAACCTAGATTTCCAAATTTGAATTTATATCATAAAAATATGAGAAAATTACATTTTAAGGCACTTTTAGATACTTGAATTACAAATTAAGGCACTTAGAATGGAAGAAACACTTTCATCATGCGAAATGACCATTTTATCTTTTTTATACAAAATCAAATATCCAGAACCACTAGACCACGTGGATGAATTTTTGTGGATAACCATAACACATCATAATCAATCTTCGTGGATGAATTTTCGTGGATGACTTCAAACATTCACTGGACTGGTTTGAGATCGATGAAGCTCATGCACACGTGGATGACCCTTCATGGACAACCAAACATGTATTGTTTAAATTTGTCTATCCATTTTGCATGTCTTTCGTTGATGAACCTTCACGGACATCTAAATATGATTTTGTATATCTATTTTGCACATCTTATGTGAATGAACTCTGTGAAACTTGTATGTTTTAAAAAATGACTAAAAGATTTCGACCACGTAGATGAACATATGTGGACAACTTCATACGTTCACTAGACTAGTTTGAGATCAATGAAGCTCATGCTCACATGGATGACCTTCATGGACAGCCAAACATGTATTATTTGAATTTGTCTATCCATATTGCATGTCTTTCTTGGATGAACCTTCGTGAACAGCTAAATATGATTTTGTATATCCATTTTGCATATATTTGGTGGATGAACTCTGTGAAACTTATATAGTATAACAAATGGCTAAAATATGCCGACCACGTGGATGAACATATGTGGACAACTATAAATAAAGAGAAAGGGCAAAATTGGATTAATATATCATGAACAGTGGGCAAAGTGTCTCTTCCCCACAAAGTGTCTTTTTTTGTAACCAAAACTCACAAAGTGCATTTTTATGTAAATCTCTCTAAAAATATTCAGTTTACTAAAAAAAAGTAACTAGCATAAATAAATAAATAAATCATAATTATTTCATTAAACTAATTTTAATTTGATTGTTTAACCTACTAATATTTTGACTAACATAATTGATTTATGCAACCACAAGTAAAACCCTAAATCATTTAAACCCTTTTAAAACTCTATATATTTATTAATGTTAAGTTGATATGAAAAAATGATCCTTTGATTTTGGTCATTTTGGATTACTATGTTTTTTTTTTATGCAAACTTTGAATTTCATTAATCTTAATCTACCAATTTACATCAAAAGAAGAGAATTATTTATCATGTTTGATAAATGGAACAAAACAACAAATGATACATATAAGTTTTTATCGGATAATAGAAAAGATATTAAAAATAAGATATAAATAACATATTTTGTTTTGTCACAGAAAAAAATAATATACTCATGAAAATTCTTTTTAAAAATATATTAAGTTTGGTTTACAATCATTATAAAATCTGATTTTTTATCTATAAATAATTTAATGTTTTACTTTTTAAAAAATTTAGTTGAACCCCGCACAAGGTACGGAAAAACATCTAGTTATCAAAAAGAACTAAACAAGAAAACAATCATTTTTGTGATCTTTGACTGTCATCCAAAATAATATCGATTATTGTGGCCACGCCATCAAGGTAAATTCAAAGAAGAGGTTTTGTTATTCAATTATGGATAAAGGAAAAATAACCTTTTTATTATATTAAAATTTTAATGACAGAAAAATGCTTCGGCTGGAGAGCTGTTCAGAGTCTTAAGGAAACGAGGCTTTAAGGTCTAAATAAGTTTTGGGACTCTTTTGTTCTTCACGTTTTCTCCAGCGTCCAAAACGGTTTAAGAGACACACAGCAATAAAACAAATCTCGTCCATCTTATTCTCTATTATTTATTACTGTAAAATTTTGTTTGCATAACCTATAAGGCTATAACATAAAACTAGCAAGCAAATTTACACCGGCATAAATGTTCTTCGCCAAAGTTATCACACTCGCAACTTGCAGGCTTGTTGCTTTCGCCTCCTTTCTTAACAAAGTCGTTTATGCAAGTCTTGCTTCCGTTGGAGCCGCATCCTCCGACAAATATATCTTTTCGGTCACATAGGTTACCCATTGGATTCACTCCGCCCTCCACTTCTAATATTTTAATATTACAAAATTTGTTAATTACGAAAAATCTAATTAAATATAGATAATGTAACAAACTTAAAACTATTACATGGTCTAGAACATTTCTCATGTAAACAACGTATTTCAAAATTGGCAAAAGTTAGATTTTACGAGTAACGTCTATTAAAACAACAACAACAACAAATTCTATGTGTTACCTTTGACTTGGTTCAGAACGAAAGACATGAGAATACAAGAAACCAGGAAAAGAGTAGCAGATCTCATGATTCTTATTGTGTGGATTTTTTTATTTGTCACTCTCTTGTGCCAAATTAAAATCAAAGAATAGTATTGTTTGTGATATAAAACAGCTTAAATGTGTATGTATATATACACACACATATTCACTAATTGACCTAATATACTCATTCAACGACTAGATTTGGAAGATTATCTGTAATTATTTTTAAAAGAGTATTTTTGGTCAAAATATATATGATTCAGCTGATTTTAAGAGACATTAATTAATATTCCCAAAATATAATAGACTTTTCTGTAATACTTTTTTTGCGAAAAAGATTTAAAAAGTGGGGAAAAAAGTAACAACGCTCCAGAGAGGGTTTGAACCTCTGACCTTGTGGTTAACAGCCACACGCTCTAGCCAACTGAGCTACTAGAGCTTGCTCATTTCTGTAATACTTAGTGGTTTGCAAAACTTGATATTTTTAACTAACAAAAACCCGTGCATGATGAATAAATCATGCTGTTAGTTATTCTATTATATATTCTTCTATAGTCCTATTCATATGACAAACAGTCAGACACTTATCTGAATATGTTTACATCTGTAATATTATAAGTATAATTTTCGGCCACCTAAATAGTACGTCAATTATGCAACATTTCTGTTATACAAAATTGTAATATTGTCTTCCATTTTTTTTACCAATTGTTGAATTTTTTTTTTTCTGAACATTTCAATTGTAGAAATTTACCCTCATGTTAACCAACGAAAATTATCAAAAAGAAATAAACAGGAAAAAATCTTTGACTGTCATCCAAAATAATATCGATTATTGTGGCCACACCATTAAGGTGAATTCAAAGAAGAGGTTTTGTTATTCAATTATGGATGAAGGAAAAATAACCTTTTTGTTTTATTAAAAATTTAATGACAGAAAAATGCTTTGGCTGGAAAGCAGTTCAGAGTCTTAAGGAAACGAGGCTTTAAGTTCTAAATAAGTTTTGCGACTCTTTTGTTCTTTACGTTTTCTTCAGCGTCCAAAACGATTTAAGAGACACACACAGCAATAAAACAAATCTCTTCCATCTTATTCTCTAGTATTTATACTGTAAAATTTTGTTTGTATAACCTATAAGGCTATAACATAAAGCTAGCAAGCAAATTTACATCGGCATAAATGTTCTTCGCCAAAGTTATCACACTCGCAACTTGCAGGCTTGTTGCTTTCGCCTCCTTTCTTAACAAAGTCGTTTATGCAAGTCTTGCTTCCATTGGAGCCGCATCCTCCGACAAATATATCTTTTCGGTCACATAGGTTACCCATTGGATTCACTCCGGCCTCCACTTCTAATATTTTAATATTACAAAATTTGTTAATTACGAAAAATATAGTTATATATCGATAATGCAACAAACTTAAAACTATTACATGGTCTAGAACATTTTTCATGTACACAACGTATGTCGCAATTGGAAAAAGTTAGTTTTTACGAGCAACTAATTAAAACAAAAACAAGAAAAATCTCTGTGTTACCTTTGACTTGGTTCAGAACGAAAGACATGAGGACACAAGAAACCAAAAAAAGAGTAGCAGATCTCATGATTCTTCTTGTGTGGATTTTTATTGTCACTATTTTGTGCCAATTAAAATCAAAGAATAGTATTGGTTGTGATATAATACAGGTTGTATGAGTATGAGTATGTATATATACACACATATTCAATAAATGTTTTTTTGTATGTTATACTTAATTATTTTTACTAATTCGAAGACCAAATCTAAAAACAGTTAAATGGGTATCTTTAGCATATTTGGAAGAAAATCTGTACTTTATTTTTCAAAAAGTATTATTGGTCAAAATATATGTATGATTTCATACCATATGTGATATTTCCAAAATATAAGAGATTTTCTGTTACACTTGGTGATTTTCAAATCTTGAATAGGTTAATTCATATTTTTCCATAATTGTTAACATTAAACACAACGATACATTTATGGGATGTATTCAAACTAAAATTTTAGAAAATTTAAAAAGATTAGAATTTTAATGAAATTTTAGATGATTTTATATAGATTAGGGAAGTTGATATGATTTGATATTAAAATTATATGAAATTCTACTTAAAACAATGAGATTTGATTTCTATATTTTTAACTAACAAACTCCACTAAATTATTTAAAAGTACTCAATATTTTGTAAAATCAACTATATAAAACAATGGATTTGATTTAGTTTTTACAAATTTATGATTGAATAACATGGATGTTGAAGTGGTTTTATATAAATTCATGTCAATAACATAGATTTTAGTGAGATATTTAGAAATCATTAGTTGAATAACATAGAATTTTTAAATAACCACAAAGTCTTCTAAAATTCCGGTTTCACTACACCCCTAATATTTATTAAAATAAGCAAAACAAAGTCAAAGGAGAGACTTTTCTAAACTTGAAGAGATAGTTAATCATTTTTTTATTTACCATAATCTCTCTTTTTCACTTATCCATCCATAGAATGCAGCGAAGAGATTTTCCTTGCTCTAATAATTCGAAAGCCTTATTGATTTCCTCAAAATTCAGTTCATGTGTAACAAAACTATCCAGATTAAGTTCCTGCAATTGTAAAAAGAAATAGTGATTAAATCCCTTGAAATTGAAAACATATCATAAAAGTAGAAACATATCATAAAAGAAATAGTGATTAAATCCCTTGAAAACATTTACAAAAAGACTGTAATCAAATAAATTTTTATTGTTTTTAAGATTTAATTATAATTGTATGAATTACCTTATTTAAGTAGTGATCCACGAGAACTGGAATATCTAGTTTGGGTTTCAGACCACCAAACAAGCTTCCACAAACTTGTTTGCCTCTGAAAAGATCAAAACTATCCAAACTTGTTGGTGCTAGATGCTTATCTATCCCCAAAATAACCGTCTTTCCTGTACCCTGTTTTATTATTTGTTTTTTAATTGTTAATTAAAGACATAATAAATCAAGTGTGCTTAACCATTGGAATGGTACTGAACTGGCTAAGAAGCCGCATGAACCGGTATAAGCGTACCGTGCGGGTGCTGGCGAAAGCCTCACTCAATACAGAAGTTAAACCAACGCATTCAAAACTGTAGTCAACTCCTCCTCCTGTTAATTCTTTAATCACCTTTTTCATAATTGTTCAACAAAGATAATCATAATTATTTTTTTGTAAATAAACGACTACAAAGTTTATTTCATTATGATGTAAAAACTTTCTTTCTTGATCAGGGATATTAAATAACACACCTCGCTAATCTTTTTTTCTCCACACAAGGTAGGATTGAGGAAATCGGTGATGCCAAACTTCTTACCTATTCAGTGTAGATAATTTATAAGTTTCTACATGAAGAATAGCATTACTTTCGTCATTCATTAAATATCTGAAAAAACTTTTTTATTTTATTATCAGTGGTGTTTTACTGTTTCAATGCAAACGTAGTATTTATTTATCTAAAATGATTAACTTTTGTTATTGCATTTAATCGTGAATATATATGGATCAATACCAACTACAGTTAGTAGCTTTAGCATACCGTAAGATATACTAATACCAAACCCAACGTGCCCCAGAAAAAATAATATCTTACCAAACCCAACGTGTCCCAGAAAAAAAGTGACTGTTTAAAATCATATAAACACGAGCTTACCTAACTCATATTTATCAGAATTGAGATCAACACCAATAATCTTTGCGGCCCCACGCAGCCTGGCTCCTTCTGCAACCTGAATCCGAATCATTTAATTTTTATTAGCAAATTACTAATGTATATATCAAATCAACTAAAGTCGAGGGACAAACAAAAACAATACATAAATTCTGATCAAAAATACTGTTGATTTTCTTTATAGAAGAAAAAAGTTTTTATATTTGCAAAAGAAACTCGATACCGCAAGTCCAACAGCACCAAGGCCTAAAACTGCAATGGTGGAGCCTTCTTCCACGTCGGCCACCTTCCAAGCTGCTCCAACTCCTGATCAGTTTTGGCCGAGAGAAAACATAAACCGCTTTGTTAGCTATAATTTGAGATGTCTTAAAAATTAAATTCCCGCAGATATGAAATTTTAATAGACAAATATCTCTATTTATTTACTTTTGTGATCAACTAGTCATTTATAAATTTAAATACTCAATTGAAAGAGGAGAAAACAAGAAACCTGTAGAGACACCGCAGCTGAGCAAAACCGCTCTATCAACGGGAATTTGAGGAGAGATTTTGACGAGATGTGCGATGTCAACAACTGTATACTCAGAAAAGCTCGAGACGAAGAGAAAATGGTAAATATCTTCTCCCGAAGAGTCCTTGAATCTCGAAGCCATTCCGTATCGTTGCGTGTTTGACAAGAAATCCTCGGCAAATCTCGCGCACCAGTTGCTCTTTGAGGATTTGCAGTCTCTACATTCTTCACAGTGAGGGTGAAACACTGGCAATACGACGTCGCCTTGTTTGAATCCATCCACGTGTTCACCAATGCTCTCCACCACACTGCATAACAACAAGAATTAAAGAAAAAGAAAAATCAAGTAACTAATATTAGGTAAGTTCTTGAAAATAGAGTGAAGATTTGAGATTTGAACAAGTATATGTGAAAAGAAGATTCACCCGACTGCTTCGTGCCCTAAAATCCTAGGAAACCTTGCAAGTGGTCCCTGGAAAAATCAAAATGTTAATGAATAAATCGAGTTTTGAAGCCATGTATCGACTTTCTCATGCAACATATATATATATATATATATATATATATATATTTGGTTAAAGAAACATGTATATCTTTCTTACGGTGTCTAGTTTCGAGAAAGAAAGATCAGTGTGACATAGAGATGTGCATAGGATCTTAATCCTAACTTCGTAAGCTTGAGGTGGATCAACGTGGATCTCTTCTATCACCAATGCTTCTCCTGCTTTTCTACTAATTGCTGCTTTGCATCGAATCGGCTTTCCTTCGTGGCGGGAGAATGATGATGTCCTGTCCATGGATATGAGAGAGAGAGAGTCGCTTCTTCTTCCTATCTTGTTTCTATTAATATCTGTCTCTTCAAAACAATTCCATATATACAACTATAGTTTTTTTATCAATTAATATCTTATTTTCTGATGTACATCATTTTTTTAGTAGGCTACAACTTTTTTTTTTTTTTTGTCTTTTAGTCTATTTCAAAACGAATAAGGAAATGAGAAAAACAAACCACACACACACAAAATCTGAAAAAAAAAAAAATGGCTGATTGCATCAGTGGATAACAAATCTCGAGATGATAGGGTTGGTGAATAATACAAAGTAATCAAGCCAGCTAATACTATCTTGTTTTTTATATATATAAATTGATAACATTAAAGTCTAAAAACGTTGAATCAAATTCTATATATAAAAAGCAAGATAGTATTAGACATCTCAGATGTTCTCTGGCAAGACTGGCATATCATTCACATGGTTTTTAATACTCCCTCTATTTTTAAATACATAATGTTTTAGTTTTTGCACAAATTTTAAAATATTTTATTTTTCATTACTTTTTTTTTTCCAACACAACTACACCAATAGAATAAAAATAAAAATAATATTCAATCCAAATATATTAATTAAAAACAAAAACATCAAACTTTAAAAAACAAATAGAAATCTTAAAACATCATACATTTAAAAGGATCACAAAACAAAAAATCACATGGTTCTTGATAAGACCATCTTAAACAACCCGATAGAAAAGTCTTTCAAATCGTGCATCAATTCCAAATCAACTAAGTATCTTTGCGAACCATGTAAAGAATAATACTAATCCGGTTAAATACACAGCATGTTGTTTTCACAAATACTCTTTCTAAGACAATAAAAACTCAAAACGAAACATACTCTTTTAAGACAATAGGCTCTTTGACATTTTATCTAATGGTAAAAATGATCTTGGTAGGCTTTTCAATAAAATCGATTTTTCATTTCTTATAAAAGAACCCCAAACTTTAAAATCTGCCGGCAAAACCCTTAACGGTCTCCACAACACAATTCTTTCTGAAACCAAGCTCATTGAGCTACGTATCATCTTTTCTTTCTTTCTCTCTATGTACAAATAGAAAGTAACAAATGTATATATACTTCGTCAAACATTCCTCGTTTCTCTAGACTTCTTTACCACTAAAGGGCAAAGAAGGTGAAGATTCTCCGCTGATTCTGCTAGGAGCCGGAGTATTCCTCCGCGACTGACGTTTGGTTGGGACAATGATGGCTTCGTCCTCAAACTTCCCGAGCTTATCATCAATGTCATCATCGTCTTCGTCGCCTTTGAAAACCGGATGAACGTAAGCACTCTGCAAGTAGCCTTTCAGGTTCAGGTTCGGCTCTCTTGCACTTTCCAATGTATCTTTCATCATAGCTTCCTGTAAAAATAACAAAACACAAGAAATGATCCATACTTGGTCTGTGTAGGGCATATTATACAAAATTGTGAAAATGGTTGTTAGGAGAAACAAACCTGTAAAGGGTATCTGATGAAAGCTGGCTCATAACGACCTTTGCAGAAGCGGTGGAAACCGATGGTAAGCACAGGCAAAGCGATGAGAAACGGTGCAGCTAATGCAGCGTGTTTCGTTCCCAACAGACCCATCAGAAGAAGTTGAGAGATGATCAATGCTGCTATGACTCGTCCATGAACGTCTGGCCAAAACGCTGCAGCGCTTTCGTATTCTTGATTGTATACATTTATGATCTGACACAAACAAGAAAATAAGATGTTAAAGAATCTGCTTGGAAACTCGATTCAAAGGAAGGAAGAAGCAGGGAAGGGAAACTTACTTGATGACGATACACAATGTAAGCAAGTGCAAAGAAGATCAAGATAAAAGGAAGAAGCATGGGTGTCACAGGAGCGTAGACAAGACCAAGAAGGAAGTAGAGCTGTATCCTAGGCTCTCCAGTGTTGAAACCGATGCTTCCCGGGTCCATTGCTTCCTCTCTGTCTTTCTCAGTCTTAACCAAGAAAGTGTTTTTCAGATGGAACATAATCAGAGGTTTCAGCATCAGAATCTCTCCAGCTACTCCTGCCCAACCGTCGACCATTATGTACGTGATGAAGAACGTTGCTTTCATTGGTATGGCCACACCGATGGTCTTAGGGATTTGGTTTGGGGACTGGTTGAGGAAAGCGCTAAGCTGTTCGAAGGCAGCTCCAGTGACAACGCTTGCAAGAAAGACATTCACGAAGTTGAAGATGTAATATCTAAACGCTGATCGCCTCTCCAAGGACGAGATCGATGTGAAGCCTTCGAATTTGGACATGATCATGAGGATGGACGGCAGAAAGATGAGGAAAAGCTTCAGTGCAATACCAGGGAGAAAACCTTGTATCACTGATTTCATGAATTTACTGCAGAAAAACAAAACCAAGTCAGTCCAAACATTAGTAAAGGATTCAGTTTTATTTGATGAACAAGAAGAGAGAAATGTGAAAGAAGAAGAAAACTCACTCCTCGACAATAACCTTCAAGAACGGAGCAGCTTTCGCAATCCCTTCGATGGTAGCAAGAGACTGAACGAAGGCGATTGGGATGATGAAGAAGAAGGTTAGGAAGAAGAAGGCAACGTGCATAATCAGCCTTCTTACAGTCAGAGAAACGTATGGAATAGCAAGGTTTGGCCAGTACACATCACGCGGCTCTGGAGCCCACTCGGTAAGCCATTGGGTCGGGTTCCGGGTCTGTTGGGTCTGAGCACAGACAGCAGCAGCCCATCGAGTTTTAAAGGAGACAAAAGATGCTGGCATAATGGACTTGGGATCATTCACCACTTCCTTTCTTTCTATAGCAATCTCTTTTGATATTTTGTCAACTTCAGCAGTGTAATGTTCGATTGCATCGACTCTTTGTCCCCAAAGCCCAAGGAAGCCAAGCTGTTTGGTGAAAGAGAATTATGAAAAGGGGTCAATTTAACAGAACAGAAAGAAAAAATTATCAAGATGTAAGATTTCAATTCAAGTACCTTCACCATAATTCTCTCGGAGTTATTTCTAGCGTATTTGAGCTGGTAATAATCAAGCCAATTCTGCAGCTTTTTCTTCTTTTGTACCAAATCGGCGAGCTTGTTTGCATTGCATACAACCTACATATTGGTTTCGGACCACAGTAAGAACCCAGGAAGCATATCATAGTCTCATAAAGATTGTATCTTTCTTAAATCTCAAGAAGATCATAACTCAGAGTTTACTTCAAGCTTCTGAGAAGTTTTACCTGATGTGTCAGATAGTGATCAGGGTGATTGACCAGGAAAAAATGCTCCACCAGTTCACTAACAGATTCATCTGCGTCCGGAGGTACATTTCTGACAAGAACCTATCACAAATCCCAAACATATTTTAGATCGATGTCCACTTTGTTCACTGTTTAAAGTTTCAAACCAATGGTTGAAAGGAGGCTTACAGTGAACTGATCAGGTCGACGAGCTTCTGATGCAACAAACTGGAGCCTCATGTTAGCAATTGTCTCATACTCTTTCATCAGCACATAACAAGTCCAGATGGTAAAGGCATATGCCATTACTATATGAGTCCAAAACCTGGAAAGACAACAAAACATCAACACATTGTTACATTGTAGCTCATATCTTTACCTGACCACGACCATTTGGACTCAGATGGGAACATAAAAGACTCAAGATGGTAAGGTCTAACGCACCTCATTGAATACTCTGGGATGTTCGAAACAGAGAGTTTGTCAATATCGCTCGAAGTTACATTCCTTAGCTGCCTAGCCAACTCCAATGTGTTGTTTGTCCAGTTCACTGGCACAAGAACTGCCCAAGCAAGCACTGCTATTGGAGTAAAGATCTTAAGCCTGCGCATATAATGAAAACCAAAAGATATAAAGTTTATCAAATCATTAGGTAGAGAAACAAAAGTGGTAAGTAAGAAAACAACCCTTGGTTTCTAACTTTACAGACCAAATCAACTGAAACAAACCCATAAACAACAACAACAAAAAAACCCTGCAAAGTTCAAAACTTTACCCCAGCCAGTAAATCCGGAGATACACAACTGAATCCAAACCGGCGTGATCGATCAGCTCCTGCTCAGGCATCTTCAGAGCCTCAGGCATCCAGTTCAAGAACTTCATGTAAGACCTGAAGTCCAGGTTCACAAAGCGCTGCACAAAGGCGCCACTCCGTGCAGGGCTGCTTCTTAGCCCCTTGAGGTACCATTTCGAGAAGTAAACTCTGTCGTTGAACGGCTGGAGCCTCAAAACCGCAAAGATTATGAAGAAGATGAAGGCACTGAGGATGTTTATCCCAGCTGATACACCAATGTCCTGGAGTGTAGCCATCTATTGTTGCTCCCTTAGCTAAAAATTCAACCTGTAGTATACAAAGAAAAAGCAGCAAACTTGTTACTCCCAAGTTAAAAATCAAAGCTTGCTAATATGAACATTCGTTTTCAAAGCTTAAGCATCCTCTAAACTCTATAACCAATTCAAAATCTCTACCAATTCAAAACTTTGGGGAACTTCACAATCTGAATGCATCAAATCTGAATCTAAGAGAAACCCAGATTCGGAAGTGTTATATATACAGAAGATGAAAAAACCCAGAAAGGCCAAAGTTTAATTACAAGACTCACAACACCAAAATTCGAATCTTTTACAGAAACATAAAAGTACAGTGAAAACAACTCAGGGCATCAAAAAAGTTTGCTTTTTGTTAGCTTTAGCTAACCCCAGATTTACTCCACAGAAACAATGAGATCCAGAGACTTTAATTTCATAATAAGAAAGAATAATAAGTTCAGAAATTGAAGGAAACAGAGAGGAACCCTAGAGCTGGGGAGTGGAATAAGCCAGTGTTTGGATCACTTCGAGATTCATCCAAAGATAAGAACTTTATTTTTTAATTTTCTCTACCCTCCTGAGTGAATTACTACTAACACGCAAACACACCATCAAAACCTCCGAATAAGTATATAGAGAAAAGTTATATACCTAAAGAAGAAAAATATTCTTTCTTTTTTTAAGGATGGTAATATTATATTTATAAAACTGTTTGAGATAATGTTGGTATGGAAACTGATAAGAGAAGCAGTTACGGCGGGTTAATATTAAGGTAGTGGGAGATTGAAAGAGACCGTACAGTCGCGAGGAAGAAGATGAAGAAGAAGAAGAGACGGCCAGAGTTTTTGTTTATTTACGCGCATTGGCTAACCAAAAAGAATCAATTTATATTTATTTATTTATTTTTATATTTATTATATTTTCGAATATTTTTATTCGTAGTGCCCGTTGGATTTTTAGGGAAAGGCTACTTTCGTTCACCTAAACCAAATCATGAGCCGGCCGATGATTAAACAATTTCAAAAAGAATCAATTTAGTAATTCCGAATCTTTCTTTGTTTTTAACTTTAAACCACTTGTGATCTTGACGCAAAACAAAAGACATCATTTTCTTTGTATTTTTTTTTTAAATTTAGTCGAGCTGCTAATTGTAGTAAGTGGGTTTCCTTATTCAATGATTAAACTAGAGAATCATTGATGAGTTTTTTTTTTTTTTTCACTTTTTGTGGTAATCCAGGTGATCCGAATCGACATTGGTTTGGAGAATGCGAAAACCGATTTATTTTGCAAGAACCAAACCAACACGACACACAAACAAACCATGTTACTTTCAACTTGAAAGATAAGATAATCCGATCGAGAAAAACGAATTCACACCATAATCCCATTTTATCCTCACACACAATATAAGTGTTCCAAATGGAAAAATGGAAATGGAATGTGAAAAAAAAAAACTAATTTACACCATACCCTAATATAACTACCACATAAATACTTGTTTATTTTCCTTTGTATATTTCCTTTGTCAGCAAACATTTTTACTCCATAAACTCTTTTGAAGTTAACTAATGTCGCCATGGCCAACCTTCATTGTTGGTTCGATCAAAAACAATATCTTGCTCACTAAACAATATTAGTATTGTTATTCTGTAAACAATTTGTTGATATATGAATGATTTTTAGAATTTTTGGCATTTTATGGTCGTTGGATGTTAGTAAAGAATTTAATGAAGTTTTATTTTATTGAGTGGTGGTGGCTTTTAGTTTCGTATGTCATAACGGTTAGTTAGACATAGACTTTGTAACGGGCAGAAAAATGTCTCGATGTTCGGATCACGCGCAAGCTAGGCGAGTGTTGTGCATGGAACCAACTTTAATAGAGAGACTGTAGAGTGCAAGATTTGGTGAGACATGCGCTTAACGTGGGGTGTCATAAGTTTATAATTAACGCACGCGCGGAGCGTGTGAGTGATGACTAAAAACACCATACTAAAAAAATGAGTATTATTGTTTTGGCCTAAAGTGAAATATTATGCTGTTAAATCATGCAAGATGATGATGTGTTCTTTCAGAGTCCACAAGATTAGAAACTGAGGTCAATTATAAGAGAAAAAAATATATAAGTTGTTGAATAATTGAACTTTAGAAATTAGAATTAGAGTATAGTATGTCTTAGTGGCCCACGACCCCCGAAAACTTTTTTCTTGTATACTTTTGGATTAAATAAAAAGACCAATTGATTCGGGTAATATATAAAATATAGAAAATGATGTTAAAAGATTACCCGAGATTACAAGATCAATGTTCAATATTAGTTAAATTAGTGATCCTAACATCATTTATCGGATATTTTGAAGGCTTGAAGCTGTAGTCTCACATTGGTTTGAGAGGATTAAAATTTCATGCCGCTTCGAATTTTCATGAGGAAAAAGGTTGAATTGTGTATGGTTTACCAAACAATAAATTAATGGGCCGAAAGTCCATTAAGGCCTTAGCCCCAAACGTTACGGACCAGCAGGATAAATAGCCCCATAACAATTGGTTCGCTCGAGGTTCTTTCTTTCAGTGAAACACTTCTTGTGTTATGAGTTATGAGCTTTGGGTACTTGTATGTTGTTGATCGTGAACCTCCGAATTGTGTAACTCTCTATGAATCTGTAAACCTGATATAGTGAATTGTTGGATTCCGTTATGGCCAAGACGTAGGAACAATCACACAGATTGATATGAAAGTTGTCAACATCGCTTGTCATCGTTTTCTTCATTCTCTGCTTTCTATGTTCATGAGAGTTTCTTTGTCGATTGTCTTCCTTCTATGCCGTGTGTTGAGGATCGATAGAGGTTTCTATTGATGCAACTTTCACAAAAGTTTCCTTCTTATAGATTATAAATACGAAGCTGTGCATATGTTTCAGTTATAACTTAATGTGATTATATTATCATATATGAAGTCTTGTTTTTTTTTTTTTTGAACATTCTATATGAAGTCTTGTTCCAAATAAGTTATGATTTCATGAATATATATATATATATGCATAAACAGTGACAAAAGTAGCACTATATTTTTTATTGCCGATTATAACATGGAGTAAATAACTTTGTTTAAATATATTTACGTTGAAAGAATCCAAGAGAAGATCACGGGATTTCATTCCATGGAATAAAGTCTTCCCTTCATGACATTAAACAAGCAATCTTGATTCTTCCAAATACCTTCAAGTTAATGGTTCTTTGTTTTTGCTTTTAGTTATACAATATATAATTGCAACAGAATAAAACTACATGAATGTGGCAGAAGAACATAAAATGATAATACTATACGCACAAAAATATGAATTAGCTAATTAATGTTTTACTGTGTCCAACAAATTAATCTATTGGTGATGATGTAAGAGACAAATTACTAATCTACCATTTAGATACAAATCTCTTTATAAACTTTGGATGAAAGAAAAAAATATATCAAAAGGTATAATGAAAAAGATCAATAAAAAGGGGTAAGAGGTTGATAACTTGATATTATTAAGCATTGATGTTCTCTTCTCTGTCAAGAACAGCTGAACAGGCCTATAATTAGCCAGATTGGATCCACACATGATTTCACTTTCAGCTTTAAAATCTAATTTTCTTTTATCAATGTATTTACTTATTGATGAATAAAAAATATGTATTGAGAGGAATAATATTTTCATAAAAGTACAAAAAACAGTATAACATGAGAACAGGCCAAAAGGTAAACATAATGTTCGTGTCTTTCATGAGTGGACGATATAATTTTACTCTATTGTAGTCTATTATTAGTCGTTTTCACCAAACTATCCCACATTTCTTTTGTCCAAAAACGTATGTCGTTTTCCATTTCGTTGCCACTTATATAATTCTCTTTATATTATAAATAAAAACTTATAAGCTACAACCTTCAGGTGTTCTTTATAATTCATGTGTAAATTCTAAACGCATTTAATTTAAACAAAGTGCATTGTTTTGGTTATTGAAATTACAAGCGGAGAGACTCTGTTGATAATTTGTCAAAACAATTTATTTTACAAAAGTCAGCCTTAAAAATATAACTGTTGTTTCATTTCTTTTCACACCAACACCAACAACAACAACAACCGTTCATAATGTGGATTGGTTGTTCTTGTTCACTCGAAATGTTAGAAAACAATAAATACTGAAATTAGAAAAGATCATGAATATTGAAAGAGATGGTACAGTAAGCAGTACAAATAATTGGTAACCAAATTGGCTTCACTTAAACTCGAAGATGTGGGCACAGAAAATTAAAAGGTGTACTTTAAAGAACGTAGGAACACATGTAGAGGATCATGAAAAAAAGTTTTTGGTAAAAGCAAAACAAAACTGATAGTGAGAGGAAAATAGGCCAAAAAGAACGCTAGTCAAATGTTGCTAGCTGCTTTTCCTTCATTTCATTTCCCCAAAATTAAAACTATATTGTAAACCCTCATTTGTTTTCAAATATAATATCATTGTCGATGGAGAATGTATTAAACTATTCAATAACACTTTAAAATATGTGGAGAAAAACGAAAGCAAATTCTCAAACTCCCACCGACACAGACACAAGTCAGTAAGTCAGATCAATTATCAACTGCTCAAGAAATTCAGCAGCAATTTCATCTCAATCATACGTTGATTTATTATATACGTAAATTGTCACACACACAAAAATTATACTACTAGTATATTATAATCATTAGATCAGTGCAATTAAGAATCTTGCCTTACGAGTTTTAATGAAGTCTTAAATAAGTTTTTATCAAATCAATGTGAATGAATCTACGGAGAAACAGAGGATTTGTATAGTGTATGTAACAAAGAAACCTGAATTAAAAAAATGAGAAAATATGCTAATTTCTCTCTCTTCATAACTCAACCAAGCTTCGAATCAATCTCTCTCTCTCTCTCTCTCTCTCTCACTAGTCACTTACCTGTACAACTTTCTTTAGTGGCCATGCCTCTAACTACTAAATCCAACACCCACTGTAACTCTTCTTCTTCTTCTCCTCCTTATTCTTCGCTGTCACTGTCTATTCTCTCTTTTCTTCTTTTGCTTTCCACTTCTGGAGCTTTCATAGCGATGTTTCTCTGCAATGGAATCCCTCGCACGTGAATCGTGATCACCGACACGCAATGGCTACCGGAGATAGAGCCATGGTCACTGTTTTGATTCTATTCATCGCTTCGATCTCTGGATTCTCCGTTGTTCGTTGTGTTACTGATCCATCTGATGGTAAAGTATTGGTTTTTATGAGTTCTTTTGTCTTGCTTTTACCATATTGTGATCGTCTCTTTTGAGATCTTTATCGTTTTTACTTTTGTGATTTGAGACCTCAGATTTTCTGGGTTTCTCTGTTAAAAGTGTAAGACTTTAGATTCAGAAGATAAAACCCTTTTTGCATTAATGTAGATTTGATGATTAATTGATATTTTCCACTGTCTGAGAAACCGCCGGAAAATATTGTGAAGTGGAAATGTTAGTGCCTGTAGAAAATGTCCAATTTTTCTTTTTTCTTACCCAAAGTGTGTATACTTACTTGGTGGATCAAGCTTTCACCTTTTTTGGCTCAAAAAGGAAAGTTGTAAGCTTTATGAAAGATTTTTTGTTCTTTCTTGATAGATTTTTGATGGGTTTTTAACAACTGAGCTGTTCTCTTCTCTCTGGTCTATTGCAGTTCAAGCCCTTCAAGTTTTGTATACTTCACTAAATAGTCCTTCACAGCTAACCAATTGGAAAAATGGAGGTGGTGATCCTTGTGGAGAGTCATGGAAAGGGATTACTTGTGAGGGCTCAGCAGTTGTCTCTATGTAAAGAATCAAAATTTTGATTTTATTCTTTTGTTCTTTCCACTTGCATTGACTTATATGATTCTCGAGTGTCTTATAATGTTCATGTTGTTGTTGTTGTGATTAT